TAGGTGATACTGTGTACTTTCCATTGCATCACATAAAGATGAATATTTTAGAATTTGCTCAGTGATTTCCCTGAAATTAGAGCTAGAAGAGGCGATCTGAATGTTTCTTCCTTCTCCACACAAATCAACCCAATTAAATAAAATTTAGGCAATCAGGAAATCTGCAGTTATTGAAATCATGTAACTTCAAATTTTTGACCTGACATTCTTGATAATTGTAGCAAAATTAGTTTTTTCATCACTTTGATTATGAGAAATACTAGTTGCTGGAAGAGCACTTATTTAGATGGCAGGAATCTTGGGTGCTTGAGATCTGAAATCTTTTGCTCATTTATTTGTTTTTTGAGACATAGTTTTGCTTGTGTTGCCCAGGCTGGAGTGCAATGGTGTGATTTAGGCTCACTGCAACCTCCGCCTCTTGGGTTCCAGTGATTCACCTGTCTTAACTTCCCAAGTAGCTGGGATTACAGGTGCCTGCCACCACACCCAGCTAATTTTTATATATATATATTTTTAACTAGAGAGGGGGTTTCACCATGTTGGCCAGGCTAGTCTTGAACTTCTGATCTCAGGGGATCCACCTGCCTCAGCCTCCCAAAGTGTTGTGATTACAGGTGTGAGCCACCGCGGCAGGCACTATTTGTTTTAAGAAATACTGATTGTTCCTGACATACAGTTGTCACATGCTAGAGCTGAATTCCAGTGTTTGTTCCATTTGGCCATTGGGAAGTCATTTACTTTTTTCAGAGCAGGCATAGCGGTAAAAGTCTCATTGGAGTCAACTAAGGAATAAAATAAAGGAGAGAAAGTAGAAGGACTTGCATACAAGTCTTTAGCTTAGTTGTAGATGAAAGGAGGCAGAAGTGAGGGAGTTTCCCTTCTGTATTCTCTGTTCCCTTCTTTCTCTTCTCCTCCCCTCCCCACCTTTTCCTCTCCTTTTCTTCTCCCTCTCTCCTTTCTCCTTTTTTCATCTTTCTTCTTTTCAAATGAGACAGGATAATCATATTTATAGGTTGATGGTAAAGAACTACTAGAGAAGTTGAAAATACAGAAGGAGGGGAATAACTGGTATTACAAGATACTAGTATATGGGAATAAGAGAATACAACTGGAGGGATAAGCTTTAATAGGTGAAATCATGCCATTTCCCTTAAGAGGAAATGTATAGACATAGATCAGTAAAAGTATATAAAGGAGAGGGGTTAGGGTTGGGTAGTTGAAGGATCTTGGTGGCCTTTAGTTTTACTGATGTATGAGTTAACTTCATCTGCTAAGAGAGAGTTTGGGCAAGGGATCTGAAAAGTGGTGAGGGTTTGTGGTACTTGACTAAGGATAAGTAAAGGAATTGATGAGTAGTTTGAGATCCTAAGAATGGATTTAATAAACTTTTAGTGAGTCAGTTCTGCATTTTCTCTGCCTGATTTTCCCTGTACAAACAAGTTGAAGAAAATTGTGATATTGATTTAAGGTTGGAGGTTTGCAGGAACTGGAGGTTGAAGGGTAAAGGGAGGATGCGAATTGAGAGTGCTAGTGAGAAGGCAGTGAAGCGATTGGTGGTCCACAAGGAAGAAGAGTAAGTATGATCAGGAGTAAACTGATAGATAAGGTCAAAGAGTAGGTGAGGCATAAGATGCTATTACCAGAGATTGATGTTTATGGCTTCAGAGAGGGAGCATGTGTGAGTGATGACAGGGTCCAGGTTACGGCATTGGAGTGGATTATGAAAGTGGGATGAAGGCAGTTGTATTTGTTAGGTGAAAAATAGTTGGGGTATGTACATTATATGGATTGTGCTTTGAAATTTTTCAGAATAATGGCACATTTTATGTTGGTGAGGTAGAGGGATCTCAGAGCTTAAGTCCTTATCGAATATGTTGAGGATGAAATGAATTCAATAAGGAACAGTAGAGGCTAACAAAGCTGGATAGCATACTTCTCAAAAAGGAAGGGGTCTTTTTTTTGCAAAAGTGGATGAATTACAGCCTAGAAGCAGCGGGGGAACCAGGAGAATAATGACTTCTCCCCTCACTCTCAATGTTGGAGAAAAGGCCATATTCTTTTGATTGAATATTGTAGAGCAAGTAGTATTTTAGCAGGACAAACTAGACATTATACTCTATGGCCAGGAGGTACAAGATTATAGATTTTGTTTTACAAAATGAAAGCATGAGGGCTTCAGAAAACCCAGTGGAATTGACTGAGAAGTCAACAAGCAAGATGATAGATTGGGGGTTACAAATGCAGTGGGGTGGAGATGAGGATGGGTGAGATGATAGGTGACATAGGGAGTCAGCATTATGTATAGGCTTTGAGGGTTCTAGGGGTAGGAGAAGCTTCATTGGAATAGATTGGCTTTAGCATTACCAATTTCGCAACACCGATTTGGTGCCAGGTAAGGCTTGTAAGGTTTGACTTAGGTTATTGGAAGACTCATTTCAAGACTCACTGTGACGGGGCTCCTGTGTAACATAGAGTATGGGACCTAAACAACAATATTTGCTTAATTTTGAATTAGAGAAAAAATATTGTAAATGGTAAAATTACTGAAATATGATGTATTTAGAAGTGACCAAAAAAAATACAGCCTGACAATTTTAAACTAGTAAAAAAAAAAAAAAAAAGTGATTTTTGACTTGGGTGTAATAATGTGTCCACTGGGTGTCACTGCGGCTCTATATTTTGCTACACAAATAAATAGCGATAAGAGCTTTGCATTTGTGGAGTTAGTGTTATGTGTGTCTTCTCCCTGCTTATTTTCCTTTTTTGCAGTGAATTTTGCTCATCCTTTTTTTGTTTATTTTTAGGTACAGTTATTTGTCACCTCTGCAAATAAAACAAATACCAATCCCTAAATTGGCTGCTCCAAACTGTCTTGTTGTTACTTGGGTGACCAATAGACAGAAGCATCTATGTTTTATAAAGGAAGAACTTTATCCCTCTTGGTCTGTGGAGATAGTTGCTGAATGGCACTGGGTGAAAGTAAGTTCAGAAGTTAGCTTATTTGTTAATACAGCTTGATAGAAGTCACATAAATGTAGCATCTACTTTGTAATGCTCAACATGTCTCTGCTCTGCTCCTTCAACATGGGCTAATTCCGACTTTTGCTTTGCTGCTTAACACTTTTATATTTTTATTCTCAAGGCTATTTGTTTGTATGTCTTTTTGTAATGGGGCCTCAAACTGCTGCCTTTGGGGAATCACTAAGGATGATATCAGGATGAAATTTGTAAAAGCTCTGATTATGTCTGTAGTTAAAAAGACGACAAAACCTTTGGGGAATTATATATCACAAACACAGAAATAGTCTTAAACCTTCATCTTCTTTCCCTTTATATGCCCACAGTTTCAACCACCCTTTGTGATTTCTTTTTCTTAATTTATGGGGGATGAGGGCGAGGAATAGCAAAGTAACCCATTGTAGAGGGGGTGGGAAGATGCCAGAACCAAGAACCTCTTATGCTCTAAATCTTAACTTAGGTCCTCAGTGCCTTTTGTGCCGCTCTCCATATTTTTGAAAGAAATGATTCGAACTCTAGAATTGGTTCGAATCATTAAAGAATGATCTTTAATATCTCTGCAGGGTATAAGATTGCCAAAAAATACAGAAGAATAAGGCATCAGTTTAGAGTTCATCGGGCTTCCTTTTAAAGATGCATTGGCTATTTAGATGATTTCTGTAAAAACCTTCCTAAATTTTGAAAAGATAAGCCAAGCTATTATTTCAGTGTTTGATGTTTATATCACAAGCATATTCCTTTTTGACACAGTAGTGTTATACTTTTTATGGCTTTGTGTACACTTTTTCATCTACTGGAATATCTTCTAAAAGCTGTGTATAGTAGTTCCTCCTCATCTGTAGAGGATACATTCCAGGACTTATAATGGATGCCTGAAACCATGGATGAACCCCATATACAGTTTTTTTTTTCTATACATACATACCTATGAGAAAGTTTAATTTATAAATTACAAAGAGATAAACAATAATAACTAATAATAAAATAGAATATTATAGCAATATACTGTAAATGTTATATGAATATGGTCTCTCCTCAAAATACCTTACTGTACTGTACTTACCTATCTCCAGACTGCGGTTGACCATGAGTACCTAAAACCATGGAAAGTGAAACTGTGGATAAGAGGGGACAACTGTATATTGATTATTTATACCCATGTTATGGGACTTGACAAAGACTTACAGTTGTACCTTTGTTTTCATGCTGTAGTTTGGTCTTAGTGTTGGTTGATTTGGTGTAGGACCATGATGGGAGTATGATACCCCATTCCGTCTTGCCTATTATGATAGTTCTTTTATAATCAAACTAGGGCCAAAGTTAGGAGGATGTTACCTTTTGAAATCAAACCCCGTAAAATGTTAATACATGAAAACTAAGATTGTTGATCTGTAGTAGTAATCAGTTCTGAGATATGGTATGATAAAGACCAGTATTTAAATCATAAATATCACATATTATGTTATACTAGGCATTTATTAGGTAATTTTACATATTGTTATGATAGGAGGAGTAATGTGCCTTGACTGTAAAGGCCACCCAATGTGCCAGTGTTTATACCGCACTTTTTGTGGGAGATGCTGTCTGATTGGCACTAGAGGAGGTAAAAGACTTTCTGATTACTGATTTGGTTGTTTAGGTACATTGATATAGGATAAAGAGTTTTACACATTGACAGTGATAATATATATTCCCATGGTAAATTAATGAATTGATATTTTAAATTATGTTTTGAGTTTGATTAGCTTAAATGAATCTTTGAGCATATGATCATTCCAGGGTGAAATGATGAAATTAAATTTCTGAATTTATAATGCCAAGGGCCAGTCTCTGGACTAGATATTGTCTATCAACAACCTAGTTTCTATCCTTATTAATTTTCGCTTTGACAATGTTTAATGATACTATTTCCTATGACTAAAGGGAAATACATTATTATGATCTACTTAGTCATATTGCTAATTCATTTATTAGTTCATTCATTAGTAATTCATTTATTAGTTCATTTGCATGACTAATAAATAAATTACTGATGACATGCTTTCCAGGAATCAATTTTAGTTAAGAGTAGGGATTGTTTTATGTGCAAGATGACAATGAAATTGTATTTGAAATATTTATGTGATATTAAAAAAAAATCTGTTATAGAAGCACTGTCTAATATGATAGCCACTACCACATGTGAGACTTCAGCACTTGAAATGTGGCTAGTCCAAACTGAAATGTACTGTTAAGTATAAAATACACTTCGGATTTTAGGCATAGTACAAAAGAAAGAATGTAACATATCTCAATAACTTTTTAAATTGATTACATATTGAAATGATAGTATTTCAGGTATGTTAGATTGAATTAAATATATAATTAAATTTGATTTCATTGCGTTTTGTTTTTACTTCTTTTGGTGTTTCTATTAGAAAATTAAAAATGATATATGTGGCTCACATAATATTTTTACTGAACAGCGCTAGCCTGGAGGTTTAATTTCTTTTGTGTGTGTATGTATTTGTGGAAGCTCTATAGTAATGGGAAAAAATAAACCTCTTTTGTTGGCTTCTTCCTATCAGATAACCAGTTCAGGAGAGTTTGTGTTCCCATTAGATTCTCCACACAAAAAGCCTTATGAAGGTCTCATACTGGGGAGAGTTCAAGAAAAAACTGCTCTACCATTGAGGTAGGAAAGGCAATTTTTCAAAATTGTATACATGTATTAATTTTTAGGCTTTTGAAAATGATTAGCTTAGTAATCATTGATTTTTAAAAAGTTTTATGTTTTTGAAAATCTGAAAATGGCCCAGTGCAGAAAGGAATGAATGGTATGGCACACGAAACTATATTTTATCTAGTGTGTAATTGTCATTATTACAGAAAAGGAAATTGTGGGAATGTCTCAATACTTAAATTGTTAATTTCTTTCATTGATTATAAAATTTGTTTTAAAATCAGATACAGAAAGAGAACAAAAATCAATGCAGCTGTGGCTTTTATATAAAAAATTGTTTTTAAAATATAGTTTACTTTCTTGTTCTGTTGAATTAGGAATGCAGATGGAAATGTGATCCCTATTCCAGACCACAAACTAATTGTCAGCGTGCCCTGTACTCTTCACTCACATAAGCCACCGCTTGCTGGTATGTTTTTATATAATAGAATTGTTGCCACTTTTGTCAAATTTGAAAAAAGACTACATTTAGTATTTGAATGGTCTACAGATTCAGAAATTAAGTCAGATGTGGGTTGTTAATGCATATTCTAAAGCTTTATAGCAGAATTTATCTCTGTGAAATAGAGAATAGTTTTATGTTACTCAGCTTTTCCAGTTATGCCGTTTTTTCAGATTCCCCTTGCTATCAGTTGCTTCCCATCACTGGCCGACACAATGAATGCTGATGGTCACCTGAGGATGTAGTTCAGCTAGGGCCTTTATTTTACTACCAGGGCTCTATTCCTTGATTGTTCTAAAACCAGGAACTCAGAATAGTAGAGAGATAGAAGTCCCTTGATATTTGGTTGGCAATTCTCAGTTTTATATTTTTTAAGAGGTAGTGTTACATTTCTGGAACATTGACAGGTAATTGCTGTAGCCTGCAATTCTCACTAGTCTTAATGCTTTAGTGTAATGAACTAACATGAGTTTGAATCCTGGCTCTAGGAGTTGGGCAAGTCATTCAAATCTTTTTCTTTATTAAAGTCCTCATTTAAAGAAGGAATAATGATATTTATTATTTTAGAGTTCTGAGGAGTAGTTATATTTAAAGTTCTGTAGCATGTGGTAGAAGCTCAGTGAAGGCTAAATTTTTCAAGTCAGAGTATAAAAACATACAAACATAAGTCCTTGAGAGGTACTGAATTTGATATTCAAAGTTTACTTTTCAAAGAATTTCTGCAGGAAAACATATTTTATTAGTTTGGTAATTTCTGCCAGTAACAACAACGACAAAACTCCTGCAAGTTGCCGCTCAGGAATACTACAGGCAGCTTATGTTAGCTTGTAGAATATGAGGCAGTTCATAAACTGGGATATGTAGAAAGTGAGTACAAATTCCCAAGAGAATTTTTATTGCTAGCACTCAGGATTTCTGTTACCTTAAGTTGTTTATGCAGAAGGGTCCTTTTGAAAAAAAAAATTTTTTTTTTGAGACAGAGTGTCACTCTGTCACATACAATGGCCTAATCTTGGCTCATTGCAGCCTCTGCCTCCTGGGTTCAAGTGATTCTTCTGCCTCAGCCTTCCTAGTGGCTGGACCTACAGACATGTGCCACTATACCTGGCTAATTTTTATATTTTTAGTGGAGATGGGGTTTCGTCATGTTGGCCAGGCTGGTCTCGAACTCCTGAGCTCAGGTGATCTGTCCGCCTCGGCCTCCTGAAGTGCTGGGATTATAGGCTTGAGCCACCATGCCCGGCCTCTAGAAGGGTCTTTATAGTATTACTTCATTTGAGACATATACAAATGTCTACCTGAGGATCTGTTCTTTGACTAAGAAGGATTCCAGTGAATAATCAGTTGCCTTACACTTTGGACTGTCATAGACCTTTAATGCTTTAATATATAACTCAAATGAAAAGTGAGATTGCATTGTTCCTTGTGAAAAAAAATTACACTTGGCACTAGTAATACCTGATTATATGTGTATATGTATTCCTCTCATTTGAATTTTCTTTATCATTTGGTAGCAAAGCTTAATTTAGCGTTTGTCTCAACACTTATTTTTTTCTTTTAAAAATTCAAAAGCTAAGACCGTAAACTTTTTATTCTGAAGTGATAGTAAACTAATTATAATTCCGTTAAAATATAATCAAGTTATATTAAAGATGAGCCTCAGGAGACAGGTTTTAAAATAGTGAATAAAAGTGAGTCATGCCCTAAAGTATTACAGCTTCTATCTTTAAAATGCAGTTCTGCTGCATTCCCAGTAGAGAGCAGCACAAACACATTTTTAGGATTGAAAACATTTAAGAACAAAAGTTAGATTCTGGAGGAAAAATCTGAATAATTCCATATATCTATACTCATGTTTTGCTTAAGTAGTGATAGACAGGAAATATGATAATATTTTATTTTTGAGTTCATGTTACTATGTGTATTTTGAATACAGTTCATGTTACTCTATGTATTTCAGAAAGCATCTCTCAGATTTCTGCAGTATATTTTACCCTGAAATCATAACTCTAGGGGTTTGGGATGATATATATTCTGTATATAATGCTTACAACTTTTACATTTAAATGTTCTTAAACTGTTTTATACAAATTCATAAAACGAAATGTTTTCTCTTTTGTATCTATCTAGAAACACCCCAATATTTGTTTTAAAGTTTAATTGGTTATTTCTGCTGCAAAATGTAGATGACCATATTGGTAGCATATGCCATTTCAAAATGATACATTTGCATAAGTTTGAAATTTTTTCCAATAGGTTGAAAGATAAGCTATTAATAGCTATGGTTTACAATCTAACATTATTATAAATTTATATCTTTTGAAGATTTAAGGTAGGAAAATAATGAAATAAAAGTATTTAAATCCAAATTTTAGCTTTCACGTTTTACCTTAGAGGAATTTCTACTTCTTTTTACTGCTTTACTTACTAACAGTCTCCATCTGAAGAGTGGAGTTTAATTGATGGGATTATATGCACTGATGTTTAGGCCACTTCTCTTTTACTCCTGCCCCACACTTTCAAAGCAAAAAGGAAATGACTAGCTGTGCACGGATTGCATCCTCTCCATTGGTTAAAGTGTGTTTTACTAACTCCAGATGTTATGTAATTGTTGAAGTTTATGTGTCATACTCATGTTTAAATTTATATATTCACGTTTATTTTTAAATTAATATTTAAAAATCAGAATAATATTTTGATTAATTTGCCTTTATGTTATTTTGAAATAAAATAATTGTAGTTAACATTATAAAAACACAACTTAATATTCTGTCTGTTGTTCTTAACTAGAAAGGAAAAGAACCATGCAAAAATTTATGACATGGAGAAAACAGGATGGTAGTAAATGGGTTTAGGTTGTATGTATTTTTCCACTCCATCTAAGTACTTGGCTATCATTTTCTATTGTGAACGCTCATAAAACATAGGTATTCTGCTTCCTTTGTTAAGTCCTATAACACTGATTATAGTGGGTGCTCAGGAGAGGAAACATTTTTGAGTGGCTGACTCCAGTTTAAATTTCTAAAATAGGGTTGCTAACATCTTCATACCAAAAATCTGAACAAATGAAACAAATAAAACCTTGCTTCAGTGTAACCTTAGACTACATTAAAAGTGAATTGAGGCCGGTAAGGCATTGCATTCATAAGGAGAAAATGGAAAAGTGATGTAAAGTTATTGTCCTCTAAGACTCTAGGGAAATCTTTCTCTTTCAAGGTTAGTAGCATTTAATTTATATACTTATGAAAGGGCTAGAAGTCTTTATACCAGCATCTCCTAGAAGCCATCAAAGCCCAAATTTGAGTTCACTTGAATTATAGACAATGAAACCTTTTAATTTTTCTTTGATTTTTGCTAAACAGGACCAGTACTTTCTGACAGATGAACAAGTATTTTGCTGTGAGAGCAACTGAAGAACATGATGAAACCTAAAATGTTTGATATTATTCTCTTTTAAACTTTACCTATCTCTAGTATTCCTAAGGAACCCATATTATTCCTGAAGGAAATTTGATAGGTTTCTTCCAAGCTTAATTGTACATAGCAGTTATGAACTGTATTTTACCTTTTCTAGTGATTTTTCTTATCTGAATTTTATACCAAATTCCTAGTATGTGGTTAGCATGGCTAACCAGCAGCATGATTAAGATTAAATTGATTTAAGTATTGGTCATCCAACTGAGTGAACATGTGGTTTTCAAAAAGTTTCTGTGTTCTCCTTTTCTCTCTTTTAGTGTAGATAACAGCTCTTTAGCCTATAGTTCTTTCCCCAACAAAATACAATGTTCAATAGTATTAATACATTGAATAATACAAGGAATACTTAACTGTGGAAATACTATGTTGAACTTTTAGGTAAAGAAGGATCTATAATTTGAAAATGAGGAAATGTTCTTAGTACTACCAACTTGCTGCTAAGGGGGTTAGTTATTTAAATGTTAGTTATTTGTTCTCAATATTTCTGTCTATCCAGCTCTTCATTTATTACTATTTTATTAAAGTTTATGTTGCAGAGAGACTTTTATCTTATTTTAAAAAATAGATTGTTTTTGAATTTTTTTAAGAGTTCTTTTTCATGCATGGATTATATTTATTAAAAATAAATTGACTGGGCACGCAGCTCACAGCTGTAATCTTAACATTTTGAGAGGCTGAGGTGGGTGGATTGCCTCAGCTCAGGAGTTCAAGACCAACCTGGACAACACGGTGAAACCCCGTCTCTACTAAAATACAAAAAAATTAGCTGTGTGTGGCACTGTGTATCTGTAATCCCAGCTACTTTGGAGGCTGAGACCGGAGAATCCTTGAACCTGGGAGGCGGAGGCTGCAGTGAGCCGAGATTGCACCATTGCACTCCTGTGTGGGCAGCAGTGTGAGACTCTGTCTCAAGAAAAATGAAAAAATAGAAAAATAAAATAAATAAATAAAGTTAGTATTCAGGAGATATGTCAGCAGTATTGGAAAACTGAAAAGTCACCTATGTAGGTGTTAAAGTCCTCATTTCTCATCTACAGATGAAAACCAGTAAATCAGGACTATGGAAGTTCAGATGGTATTGTTCCCAATCTCAAGGGTACTTTATTTTAAATGGCTTTCTAACTATAAATAGTAAAGCCTGTGATGAAATCCTTGAAATTAATTTGCTGTTTATAAGAAAAAAATGAAACATCTCTCTTCTTCTACTCTGAACTGCTAAAAGGAAATGGATTCTTTCCTTAATAATAATTTTTATGTTTTTTCTCTTTTTTTGAACAGAGGTTTTAAAAGACTACATCAAGCCAGATGGGGAATATTTGGAATTGTTTGCTCGAAATTTACAGCCAGGTTGGACTAGTTGGGGCAATGAAGTTCTCAAATTTCAGCATATGGATTACTTTATTGCTCTGGAGTCTGGAAGCTGACTATGATCTTGTTTAAGGAATTGGTTTCTTCATTGTTTCCTCACCACTTTTCCATTATTCTAACTCATTTTTTATTTTGTTACCAACCCATATGCTTAGAATATAAACAGGACTTGGTTTTTCAGTAAGGGACCAGAAATGACTAGCCTTTACGTAATTTTGAGGTGGATTTTACTTGAGTTGCACTAATCTTCTATGTTATTCTAGATTATACAAATTAAGTGGTAAGCAGTTATAAAGATGGCAAGACCATGCTATTGAAAAAGTTCAGAAAACATACACCGTGGACCAGAGATCATAACTGTATCTGTGGATGTGTTTTGTGTGGCCTGTATGGTATTGTAAAATACATTTAGAACCATCATTCTAAAAAATGGGAATATTTCACATAAAAGTCCAGATTTCTGCTTCTTTGTAAACATCAGAGGCTCTGGCTACACTGAGGCCTCTGTTTTTTCCTGACATTAGTCTGCAGGACCTAGTGGTGGTGGCTGACTTGGGAAGAGCCTTGTGCTCTCCACTTTACCACAGTACCACTGCCGCCATGCTGCTCCCTTATATCATCCACTTGGCCCTTGTATGACCTGAATTTGCAACCTCTGCTGTACTATTAACATTCTGGAAAAAATATTCAAAGACCTGCCAAGTACTGCATTTGTGTACTGATTTTATACACCATTTCCTTAGGGGTTTAAATTGCATTCAAGGTCACCTTCCAAGCATTTTCTCTTCTAGGAGAAAATGAAAAGATACTCTTTATAATAAACATGTCAGCAAAAACTGTGATTGTGAAAAAAATATTATTTGCAGATTTTCTACAAATAATGTCTACCAAGTAAAATAATTTGACTGAAATAATTCTTTGAAATGCATATTGATTTGTTATGTATTAACTTTTTAGATATGGAGGTATAATTTTCACAAAATAAAGTTCTCCAATTTTCAGTGTCGAATTCAGTGATTTTGAAAACATATATACAGCTGTCTGTCTGCCACAGTGATCATGACACAGAACACTTTCTTCACCTCAAAAACTTCTCATTTGTCCTTTTGCAGTCAATCCCCTCCTCCTATCCTTGGCCCCTGGCAAACAGTGGTTTGCTTTCTATCATTAGTTCTGCTGTTTGAGAACTTCATATAAATGGAATCATGCAATGTTTAATCTATTGTGCCTGGCGTCTTTCACTTAGTATTTTGAGAAAGGCATTTATACTATTTACAGATTGTCGACAAATATTTATCCACTAAGTAAAATGTTAGGCTGAAATGATTCTTTGACAAGCTTGCCAATTTACTGATTTTGTCAAGGAAAAATATGTTATTTTTGAAGTTTGTTCATCCTTTGAGTGCATGAGTATAGTATCAGAGGCTTAATTTTGTGTTTATGGATCTATTCTAACTTATTTAAAACGAAAAAGGTATTAAACTTGAAGCAACTTCTCATGATCTCATTTGAATTCTTTTCAGCTTTGTTTAGTATTGATGGATTTTATATAGTTTGTGGGAACATTTTATCCTTACCAAGTTTTTGAACTTTTATTTTTGCATTATAAATACTGATACTAAAAGAGAAAAAGAGAATCTTAATTCAGTAAGTTTGTTATTCACGTTGCAGGAGTTACTAGTTTTAGCTCGAAGTTGTAAAACCTCTGGACCTTGTTTTAACACCAATTTAATTATTGGGCTCCATTTTAAATGAAGAATGAGTCTGCAAGTTTTACCAATAACATACCTTGTGAGAACAAAATGGAGTATGAACATCAAACTTTGACTTCATTACTACAGTTGATAATGCCAACTGACCTGTTGGACTTAGGTATTTTAGAGTGTTTTCATTCAGAGCTTTGTATATTATCTTTATAACTTGTAAGAATTTTGTGGGTTTTTTTTTTTTCTATCACATTCTTTTTATAGATTTATGGCCTTTTAGGACTCTTGGTAATAATGCTTAGGCAAAGGGATGGAGCCAACATTTGTTGATTAGTAAATGTTACTCTGTGCAATGCTTTTTACTTATTGCATTTAATCCTTACATAATCCTGAGAGATAGATATAACTTTCACTTAGTAGTTGAGAAAGCTGAAGCCCAGGGGACTATTTTGTGTGTAAACACATCGTAAGTGTGGTTGCACAGTTTCTGACTCTATAGCCCCTGCTGTATTCTATGTAAAAACATGGAAAACTGAGCAAATGACTAAGGATTTCTCAAGTGATGTCATTACACTCTAGCTTTCCCCCTCGAGCTCTAGAGTTGGGTTTGATTGGATTACTAGAGGCATGGAATCACAGTGGACATCCCAGGGAAACCACACACAAAAAGCCTCCCAGCCATTTTGCCACTATGTGCTTAACTGCTAACACCACTCAGGAAACTGGGGGGAATTGTGTCTCCTAATATCATATTCTTGGAATTCTTGGCCTTTCTCTTGAGACTCTTTCACCCTTCTACATGGGATCCAGTAGAGTAAAATCATAGACCACGAAACACACCAAATCACAACTACTCTTGGAAGCAGATTCTCTAAAAAAACTTGATCTTTTTAATCACTTGTCCTGCTTTCTTGTTCAGCCTTTATACCCTCTAGTCAAAGTTTGATCCAGTTTTTCTTTTCTCTTGGCCACTGTAGACACGAGGTCTTTTTTGTACCTAAGGCAGTAAGTTCAGTGTGGCACAGTGAGTGCGATCTAAAGCCAACTTGAGTAGGTTTGAACCAAACCGGCTTTTGACTTTGAGCAAGTTAATTAAATCTTTAGGCTTTGGTGTCCATTCATGCATATGGGCAATAGAAATACTACCTCATAGAGTTGTTATGAGGATTAAATGAGTTAACACATGCAAGGCACTTGTAACAGTACTTGGAATATTTTAAGCACTCCAAAAATGTGACAGCGTTTTGTTTTTTTTTTTTTTTTTTTTTTTTTTAAATTTCAGGTCAAAAAGTTATCACAGTCTAAACTCTCATTCAGGGAACATACTGGAAATTAAATGTTAGTTCCATCCCTTTGCCCACGCATTATTAAACTGCCCATAGAGTTTTTCTGTCTAAACATCATTTTTAAAAAAATCTGTTTCTTGTTCATAACCTGCACCTGATTTCATACATGGAGAAGCTCTGAAATCTCTTTTCCCATTGTGGTCCTGCCTAAGAAACAAATTAAACAAGGGCCACATGCAGCTTTGGGCTTCATGTCTTGACTGCCTCCTGCCATGCTGACTAAGCTGTATAGCTACTCTGCATTGCTCTTTTTTGACTCTCATAGGTGCTAAATCGGTTGCCTTTCTGATATTTTTTCTATGTTGAGGCACTTCAGGCCCATGCCACATAAATTTGGTTTAAAACAGATGTGTTACACTTTGCTGCAGGTGTTAGGAAGTTGATCTTTATTTGCCACTCGGGATTTTCCAGTTGATAAGGCACAGAGTAAGTAAAGAAGGCCTATTTCTTAAGACGGTCTGAAAGGCACCAATGGAATAGGTTTCTTCTGTTGAATGCCAACCTTTGACGGAGGCAACATCACCAGGGGCCAGTGGCCTTCTTGAAGGAGGATGTAAGACAGCCTAGTCCATGACACTGGGGATAAAAATCCAGATCTAGATCTGGGCCTAGCTTTAGTTCTGCCTTTGCTCTGTCCTTGCTGCAGGCTCTCTCTACCTTGTCCTGTTCTAGTCCTCTAAATTCTATGATGCAAACTCATTCTCACAAGAGAATTGTAGGCCCCCAAATCTCAGACTTACTACCCAAGAGACACATATCTTCTGAGCATTTTAATGTATTCAGCTTCAGACAGATGCTGGCTTTTCTCCTGACATGATTGAGAGGATTATAATCATGTCATGGGACCTTTCCTTCCTGAAGATGCCCGATTTACCTTATTTGATTCATGTCATGCACCACTGGCTTACCATACCTTGGTAAGCAGCACAGCACTGTTGACACCATTCTGTGGTTACTAGAGTTCTTTCACTTTGTTTCACTTTATCTTCAAGACAGTTTTACGAAGGTATAAGTATAATGAGGGAATAATTTCATAGAGGCTACTTGTAAGGTTAATAACCAAGATTTGAATTCTATTCTGGTTCCTAAGTTAAGGCACTTTATGTTATATCATGTTTGCTAATGAACTTGAGATCTTAATAATAGGCCCATCAGCTACTAACCAGAGGGTTCATTATATGGCCTGGAGCATATTTAGAATGGTTCACATGTAATTACCCAAACATACCTTTCTCATTATACCACATCATCAGTCTGGTGCTATTAGCATAGTATTTTTTGTTAGAGATTTTAGTGACATTGATTGAACTGATAGTCTCAGTCAACTCAGAGTCACTCAGAATCTGATAGGCTGCTAAACCCTTTGACATAAGCCATAAGCACTTTTACCATGCCATTGTATTTTAACAACTCAATCAGATTAGCCATTTTAAGCTCACATTTTAAGGAATCCATTCTGCAAAATACTCACCTGGATTTGAGGCTATAGGGTAGTTAGAAAAGGGAATAATTAAGGTAAGTGCAAATAATTTATGTTGATTTGATACCAGTGTTTGGATATATGGACCAACTCATAACTCCAGATGGGCTCTTAATTAAATTCACAGCTCTGCACCAGCTTGAAAATAAGTCAGAACTACCATGATAATTCCACAATCAGTCTTTTCCCCCTAAATATTCTTAGGGGGTTAACCTAGACCTCCTGGGGCTTCTGTAAACTTGAGTGGGACCTTAGATTTTTCAGTATCCATCCAAGTCCCTGGAGCCATATATAAACACATTGATATCTAGTAGTGGAGAACAGGAGGAAAACTCATTTCTCAGATGAGATGTTGGAGATGTTGGCCTAGTTGTTAGGTAACTGTGACAATGGGGTACCTTTGGATGACAGCTAAGGCAAATAGAGTGGTTGCAGTATTAAAACTGTTTTTAGTCAATATCATTAAGGAAAAACATGGTTCCCCACCGGCTTTTAAACTGCTACTCCCAATACTGTCCACATGTACCCTGAATGTTAATCAGACTGGACCATTTGCTGTTACCTGATTGAGGCCTCTGCTTTTGCTCATGGTACTTCCTCTGCCAGGAAAAAACTAGCTAGACTTTGGGATCGGCTGGGTCTACATGTTGAGTCTTGATGTATTTTAACTTCTGAGTGACTTTGAACAATTAGTTGAACTATCTTATTGTGAACTTTCTTTTCTAAGCAATGGGAAGGCTAATTTTTGGGCCTTATAGAATTATTTTGAGGATGAAATGAAATAACTGAATGTGTGCAGCATAGGACCTAATAACCTAGCAGGTGTTCCATATATGCTCATTAAAAAAAAAAATTTACAGTCTTCCTGGCAACACCTCTAATTTCATGATCCACTTAAAAAAAAAGCCCTTATTTTGGACTAGCTTTAGGTTTATAGAAAATATGCAAAAATATCAAACAGCTTCCAAATTATTTTTCACCTCTGTAACCTCCATGAAACCTCCTATTTTATAGTCAGAGGGAATTATTCTCAAAGTGAGCATTTTGCATGCTTCTTGTAGAACAATTAGAATAAATTTGTATCTATAGCATTGATACTATATCTATACTTCTCTCTTCCTTTCGTTTCCCTTCCCTCCCTTCTTTCCTTTTTTCTTTCCTAAATTAATTAGCCGGGCGTGGAGGCATGCACCTATAATCTCAGCTACTCAGAGGCTGAGGCAGAAGAATCTCTTGAACTCGGGATGCAGTGAGCCGACATAGTGCCACTGCATTCCAGCCTGGGAGACAGAGTGAGATTCCATCTCAAAAAAAAAAAAATAACAGGACTAATTATTAGTTTTTCCTTATTCCAGTGAAGGGTAGCAGAATATGCATCCCAAAATATGCCACTTTGGCATGAGGATTATTTTGAACTAAAGGCAATTGAGACAAAGCAGATATAAGAAAAAGGAAAGACAAATGTTTATCACCAGACTGTAGACCCTTAGCCCAGAGACAGCTCCAGAGGAATCTACATGATAAACTTTATTAACTAGCTGGTTATTTAAAAAATTTTATTTTTTAAAATTGACAGATAACATTGTATGTTTTTATCCTCTTGCCATAAAAATGTTAAGTATGTGAGGTACTGCATTTTTAAAAATTAGCTAGATTTAACCATTCTGCCTTTACCATTAGTTTCTCATTTATTTGCCTTTCCACAATTTCCTGCCTTGTGAGTCTCAAAGTCCTTTTCTTTTGTCTTTTCACTTGTCTAAAAATGTATCATTTTTTGTGGAAGATGCTGATATGGTTTGGCTCTGTGTCCTCACCCAAATCTCACCTTGAATTATAATCCCCACATGTCAAGGGTGGTATCAGGTGGAGGTAATTGAATCATGAGGGAGGTATCTCCCATACTGTTCTCGTGATAATGAGTGAGTCTCATGAGAACTGATGGTTTTATAAGCCTGGGATTTTTCCT